AAATGCAGATGTGTTGTTGAAGCCGTATGTTCCACTCAGAACCCAAGGAATAATAATATGAAACCAATCCTGAGAATAGATGACAAGCCAAATAATGTAGTGTAATTCAGCAATTGTGATAAACCTACCTAGAATGACTTTCTTCCAAAAAACAATTAAGTGCATGACTAGGCGATTGGACATACGAATCCAGTGTTTAACAGAGTTAAGTGTACAGTGGTTTATATCTTATCCTAAGAAGTTCTTAGAAGTGCAATTTTACAGCCCAAATATTCAACAATGCTTGTTACTCACAGACTGTTCAGTGTCAGATACTCAGTTACTGTTGCAATTTATTGATTTACATTTTCCTAAATCTATTAATGTCGTCATACTATGCATTCTCGTCATACCATCTTAATCCTGAAGTAAGTATCACCGATGAAAACAGAATATTTCCATACGACTAATAAAGACTTTTTAAAGCATAAACCCACCTCCACACACACACACACACACACACACAAACCAATTTACCAAGTTTGAATGCATAAACTCATATTTTTCTTAATAAAATAAGTCATGAAAAGCATAAAAACACACCAAAAGAGCGAAACACACCTCCAGCACTGAGGTTATCATTTTGAAACGCTGAAATGTGTTAGCGAAGTTAAACACTATAGCAGCAACCTGCAGCTAAAATCGAAGAACCCTCAAAAAGAACCCTGAAATGTAAGTCTTAACACCCTTTTACTACTGTGATTGCTTGTTCAACTGGATACTCGGTAATGGCTGAAATGTCTATATAATTTCGGATGTAAACAATGTCTAATCGACGCCAACTGCTTAGTAGTGTTATTTTATGTCAAACAAGTTTATTTTTGAATGCATTTCTAATTGCCATCCAAAGTTCACAAAAATTTCGAATATATAACAGAAGATAAGCACCAATCTCTCTCTACCCCCCCCCCTCATCTGAGTATTCCACTGACAATCTCAACTAAGCGTTTGACACAGTCTCTCTCTAAAATTAAAACTTCATTTTTAATACATACCCTTACAAATGATTCAAAATAACTGAAATCAGTAAAACTGTAAGAAAGGAAAAGTAATTATGCGGTGAAACATGAGGATTTAACGAATCTGAGAGATTGAAAAGATCGAATCCATCTAACACTAATGAGAACGGGTTTTGGACCGTATTACCAACAACCTCAAGTCATTGATTTTTAATGCCTCGAGTCTACACCTCCCTAAATGACTGGCTGAGTCAAACCGACAGTTGCAAACTTCATGGATTTATGCCAAGCTTTGTTTTGACTATCCCTAACCCTCTCTCATCAACAGCTGCCTTCGCTCCTTACTCAAGATCAAATGGCCAGAAAGAAACTGTGGGAACGAACCAACCAAGAACCACTTGTTCAACAAATATGTAGGAGAAAATGCACATAGATCGGGCATACATTGGAAGAGACCATTGCATGACATCGCACGCCAGACCCTCGAATATAATCCAGTTGGAAGCGACGAGTGGGCCGTCGGTGCTAGGGTGACATGGAGTAGACGTGTAGCGAGGAGGAGATGAGAGATTATGCGCAACTGTGGTCCAGACTGAATAAGACGGCAGAAGATAGGACAAAGTGGATATGCGAGGTTGAAGCTGTGTGTTCCACATGGAACTCAAGGGAATAATGATAACTTTAATTCACTTATATCCTACTACAGTTAAAAATGCTTGATGAGAAGAGGGACAGGTTAACACAGGTGTAACACATATCCTAACCATCCCCTAACTTGTGTAACACTGTACGCCTAACCTCAATATTACTCACCATATTATACTATATATAAATATGTATATATAGTTCTAGCCATAAGTAAATTGTGTGAAATCAGTTAGCTGTATGAAACGTTAACACTCACCGCATGATGATTAGATTTTTGCTATAATTAATAAAACAAAATGGTTATGTACAGTAATGTCAAAGATATCTTTTTTTAAAATTATGCCCCCCATACGATATGTAAGACTTTATAGTGATTAAGTTCAGTACAGGAAATGATTTGTACTACTGTGTTTATAAATCAAGCTTACAAACTTCAATTTAGAATGATGTTATCTGGATATGATTGTTGATTATTTGTGCACTCATCTTTTGAGAGAATGAAGGATGTTGACAAACACGTAAGATAAACTGTGTGCAGACGCAAATATTTGTCCTACAACTGCAGATGCTCTTGTTCTACTGAGATCATAAGCATTTGAAAACAATAAACTAATCGTCCAAAATACGAGATATATTTCGGGATCAGAATCGTATAACGATGACGATTGCTTAACTAGCTAGAGTGCATGCACAAAAAACCGAACATAAAACGATAGTATGCAAAATGGTGTGGATGCTTGACCACATACCATTAGCTTAACAAATCAGCTTAAACAGTAAAGGTTAGCACCGGTAAAGTAACATTTTTGGGGAATTATTTGCTATTACAGTTTCCAATTTCTTAAGAATTTTATTTAGATGAGTCAATTGGTGAATAAAAAGGAGGGTTCGGCAAGAGTAAACAATAGACACCAAGGTCGAATGACCTTGGTTCGGCCAATCAGATAGCTCGGCATTGCAAATGAATGCTAGTCATAGTCCTTGTTGCAAGTGTCTCCTAGATATGGTTTTTGAATTTTCTATGGAAAATGGGTTTTCAGGGAGGAATAAAACATGCATATGTGGAGGGATAGTGACTCTGAATAGGTATTGCCGGGCCATTGATGGTTGCACATTCAGATGCAACTACTTTATGTGGGATAGTCTGTGTAAGTTGGTAAGTCAAAGATAATTCGTGGTTTTTCTAGACACTTTCTTCTCGAAATGAAAGCTCTCCCTTAGCAATATATTGCGTATATGCGCAACCAGTATCTGCTATAGCTGCAGAAATGGAGAATACATTCGTTTGATATGCCTGTAACTACCTCTGTGAGGAATTGGGGCAGTTTTTGCAGCATATTAGAGATATATACCTTGTATGATTCATTTTTAACACATATATGTCATAGTACACATTTTTATAAATCAAGTACCACTTTTCACCGAGAAGAATCTGTTTGATCAAATCAAGACCATTTGACTTTCTGGTGTCTATTCTTTACTGTTGCCGGGGATTCTATGGAACCGAATTTATGAATCTTATTTCTTGAGCTAAACACAAATGGCGTTATGGGGAAGTCGAAGAATATACAGGAAAAAAGGCATAAATGCACCAGTAACTCTAAAATGAACAATTACGTTCAAAATCTAGAAAGCATCGGATCCCCAACCTAACCCTAATGCTGTTTTTTCTCTAACCTAACCCTAAACTGACGCGATATCCATTTTAGTATTCTTATAGGATTGAAAAATACCCATTGAGTCGTAAAGAAAAATAAACGATAGTTCAGCAGAAAAAATCTCATCTTCAAAGGTTGAATAATCGTATTTACATTTACTAATAAATGCATGATAATTTATTATTGAGTAATGGGACGGGTGCGACATAATTCATACAATTATCCATGAGTAGTTTGTAAAGGCGAAACATCACGTAGTGATCAATGTCACAGTGGAAGTAAGGGTTCGAAATTTGATTCATTGAAAATTGTTATTCAATGAGAAGTTGGTTGGTTGAGTGTCTTTTAACAAGGATAAAGAGGGTGACGGACAAACTGTCGCTTTAGACCACTTCAACGTGTACTTATAAATTCACTTGCTCCGTTACAGCTAGTTATATTGTCACTATCTCTAATTATTATCCGGCATGGGTTTTGGTTTCTAGTATCTGCGTATTGTGGAAGCCCTAGAGATTTATCAGTATAACTCTATTTACAGAAAAGGTTTGTTCAATCTCTTATTCTATCATAGCCTTGAACTCTTCTCGATCGGTTCGCTTCCTTCGTTTTAGTAATTAACTCACTTTTTTTTATATTAGACTAAGTTTTCCTCTCACTTCCACACGTGTGAAGTGGACACAACCACCCTGCTACTCTTCTAACACAATAATTTCCAGGTTTATTCAAATTCCAAACTCCTACTCCGATTGTGTCGGTGACTATTACATAATTTTTTTAACTTTAGAAACCACTTCTGAATAACAACATCAATAACGTCACCTATTACTCAATACGTTGCTTTGATAGACATAAATACGACTGTAGAGCCTTTGAAAATGGTTTTTTCAATGAAAAAAGCTTTTCTCTCTGAATTGTTTTATATTTTGGCCATATATATGAGATTATCAACCTGGTTTCATTCACACTGGCTTGTTTTGAAACATGGTCTACCAAAATACTCCATCATCAAATTGTATATAATTTCTCTCTTGGTGTTTTCTTCTCTGGCGAGTATTCAAGATGTCTACAAGCTGCTAATCCGTAAGTCTCTAATAAACATGAGATAAAGCAAAATCGTGTGTGACAACGTATCTCAATTTATGGGATAACTGTCCCTAAGGTTTTTAGTAGAAACTGTGATTGCCTGAGAAATAAAACCAATCATCTGCAATCTTCAGTTATTTAGTTATCACTGTCCCTGAGTAAAAATATGTGTGCTCATGCACCTTTAATTGTCTTTCGACCACTGTTGTGCATTTCCCAAAGAGGGTAAAGGCGAAATATCATAAGGATTGGTTTGCACTTCAGGTCAGACAGAAGTGTATCACACGATTTACTTTCAGGTACTAATTACTGAACAAACAGAGACTATTCTGCAATGAGATCCGTTGAAAATTCTGTGGATTATATCAACAGTGTCCAGAGTAAAGCTATTATTATTACTTTGCCTTGACCAAACCCTCAAAAGTCATTCGTGCATTCGCGCCTGTTGAGTGCTTATTCTGTAACTTTGTGGAGATGATTTCTTCGTAACTATATGACTAACACAGAGCTATACTAAATGATAACACAATATACTTGGCTGACTATTTATCAAGTGTAAAAAGAAATAAAATTATAATTAACCTTTTTTGCATTAAATATATTATATTCTTACCTCTAAAGCAAACATTGATTGTCGCATTCTTTTCATATCTTCACTCCATTTACTACGTGTATCACTAATCCATCGATTGACTTCATCATCCCAATCATCAAGATGACGATCTGAAAGTGGTACTGTTGATGACTCTGTACCCGAATGCTTATGAATATCTGTTCTTGAATGTTTACTATAACTTCGTTCCAAATTGTTAAGCATATCTTTACGACGTTGTTCAAACGTACGACTATCTCTTGAAACAGGGATATTTATCTCTGTTCTATAGTTATCCATTATTTTGTTGTTGTCCGATATGATTAACTCTTCTCCTGTTTTTTTAGCTCAAGATAGAATTGTGGATGGCGTTTCAACTGTGCAGTAAAACACGGCAAAAACTGTGTTTTAATTAATACTGCAAAATATTCAAAATAAAACGTCTGTATGTACAGACAAATCGTCGTATCACCTTTAGGCCAATATTCCACCAATCAAATGCTGTAGACTTTGCGTCACTTTTTAAAGAAGAATTTGATTGGTCAGTTGTAATCATCTATGATACATGGGTGGATGGACAAGTACGCCAATACATAATAAGCAACTGCTATTGTATTTAGACTTTTGGGATTAATGAGTCATTATTATTATTATTAATATTGTGAACTGAAAATTAATGTGGAATGTATTGTGTTTACCCACCTACCCATCCCCACCCACCCTCATTCCAAAGAAGTCAATATTAGAATGTAGTACACAATGAGGATGTGAAGAAATTCTTCAGAGTTTGTGTGCCTGTATGTATGTTTGTATGTGGATGTGTTTTATGTGCATAATATACAGTTTTAAAACACAATTGCACACATCAAATCCTATTGATGGCCGTAGATATGACATAGATAATTCTTTCTTAAGACAGGTGTACTATGCATGATTGAAATAGAAGGTAGATAGGCTATAGAGACACTTAATATGTCTGTACATCTACACAGAGTACATGCAATATGTATTTCTACAATAAAACATCCGAACACCAAAACAAATCAGAGAAAAAGGTTAGTCTAATTTAAGTTTAGTACTTTCATTTTTGTTTCATGAAAGGATAGGCAGGAAATACGATACGCATTATTGTTTTTATTATTACTGAAATACTTTGGTTTCCATTTAGGCATATAAACACAAAAGTATTGATCTGATATGTTGTGGTCTTCTGGAATGCTAACACTCCTATCGAAATATATCTTTGCAACTGTGTAAAAAAACTTATAAATCTAACGCTAAATGAGTCATCCTTAAAATGTATTTATATTTCTATTTAATGCTGCATGTTAGGTGTAAGATAGTGCCAGCAAAGACCGTAGTGAAAGTCAAATGACTGCGTCAGAATGACCTTGAAGACTGACCAATCAAAGTAAACCAGATTTATATGGGTAAAAAATCAATCAATAGATGAGTGTGAACGAAACGTCTTAAAGGAGTGTTAGAATTCCTCAATTTTTTAGCAGGTTTCTTGGTTTAAAAGTGTGACACTTTGCTAATTTTGGATTTTCAAAGAATGGTTACTGAACAAAGAATACTCTTTTCGATAACACCTTCATCATCAGGCTCTACTGTTATATATACATAAGAGTAGTGAATGAGTTGGTGTTGTGAACAACAATAATGCTGTTTAAATAACATCGAATCAATAATATTAATAGATAACAGTTCTTCAATAGCACCAACATAACAATGAACTGAATGTTTCATGAGAATTACGATAGCTTCTGCTGTTTGAAGCATGCGGTACTTCGATATTTTTGGCAATTTATTTGGCACCCGGTAGATGATAGAGAAGGATTCTTCAATGCTGGCTTTGTGACCTGTTTGCACTAGGTGGTCCAATATCGAAATGTTGATGGTTTTTACTACGTCTTTACTTAGCCATACTGTTAGATGTTTGCGAGCACGAAAAATCAAGTTCCTAGAGCGACGGCCGATATAACTCGCTCCACAAGCGCAGTTGAATTGGTAAATACAATTTGAAGTGGCTAGTCTAGATACTTCATCTTTCAGTCGAGGAATCACCATCGGTCGTATAGAGAATAAGACGTGAATTTCGCCAGCATTAAAAATTCTTTGAACTGATTTTGTTAATTTCTTCGTAATTATTTCATTTGGTATATCGCCCTTGAATTGTAGTCGTATATAAATTGGCTTCTTGTTTACGGATAGTGAGTAGCCATTTACCGCTTTATTTGTCATGTGTTTGTTGACAAATTTGTCGGGATAGCTGTTTCAATCGAGGTATCATATACAATGCTTAATTCATCTTCAATAACTTCTGAGCATATAGTTCTGAATTGGATTTGCCTATTCTTCTTTACCGCCTAGCTTCAATCTTTCCTGGGCTTCTTAGGAAGAACTTTATTGCACTGTGAAAGTCACTAAAAGTTTTCAGTAAGGCGAGTAGTGTGGTTCTTGAAGTCATTCAAGAGATTAGTATGTATTGATTATCTCGTTGAACTCCCAGCATCCTCTTTATGTCCAACTCTCTACTTGCATCTCATGAGGTAGGACTACAGTCAATTATAAAAGATTTTATGACCGGACGACTAAGTATAAAGACTCCAAGATAACTTATTTAGCACGCATTCTATGTGATGAAAAAAGTGTACGGCATAGAACCACTAAATTACTATGAAACACGGAGTAAATGCCCCTCTTTATTCCTCTTTTCATAATATTTCATTGTTGTTAATATATCCACCTAAATTTTAATTTTATATTCATATTCTAATCCATATTATTACCACTATATATGTAATGTTGATGATTCCCTACCCCACTCCACTACAGTGTAATGCAAACAGAAAATTCCACACAGTATTGTATCACAGGCTGAAAATTCCTCATTATATCAGAAGTACTGTTATAATTATTATTAGTGCATCGGTGGCACAGCGGTTAGGACGCTCGCCGACCATGCACATACTCCGGGGTTCGATCCCCGGCCACAGACGCACTCCTTTACCTCGCTAAGCCAGAAATGAAGCTGGTAAAGAGGAAAGGTTGGGCGCAAGGCTAGCAACCCCATCCTGTAAAAATAAACACCACTGCTACAGAAACTTCAAAAGAGAGGTTTGAAGCCCTGTGTTCCACTGAGAAAGTCAAGGAATAAAAAATTATTATTATTTTTAAAGGTAATAATAGCTGCATTTGAAGTGGAATCTGAGTCATGAAAGGATCTGAAATCAACAAAAAGATCTTGTAGAGAGGAGTGACTGGTTCCTGGGTTCATAACCCCCTCTTCCTGGTTAACTCTTGGCGAGTCAGTTGTATTAGCAACCGTCAGTCTGATACATGAATGATCTTTTGTAGATAATTGATTTCTAACTGAAATATATCCTTATTCAGCAGTGGTATGGAATTTACTTTTTGAAATATTGAGTTTAAATACTTCACCCCTCAATTTTAATTATCATTCAGCTACATACTTCATTTATCACATTTTCTCACAAGGAAACTAAGATGGTTTTAACTCAAAAATATCCTTGTATCTATGTGCCTTCGAGTTGTCAGTTGTCTGTAGTTTGTAGTACGACAAGATGGACTACTTAATGGAAATAGATTCAATGTGGTAATTTTGTTTGTTAGGACAGGAGAAGGAGACATATTATAAGTCAGTGTTGCGCTTACATGATCTGTATATCAGAAATTTGATCCTAACCTAGATTAATGGTTGCTTCATTTGATTTCTACGATTGCACGCTGATAGTTCAGACACATACTTCATTTATGTCAAGTAACTATATATAACTAGGTAGGATTTCTCGCTCTCCAAAGGAAACTACTTGAATTGAGCACACTAAAAACTGCTAACCATTTTGAGAATTGTTAACTGGATTTTTGGTAACATCACTCCTCTCTAGCAGCTGGCCTGGAATCGGGTGGTTTGAATACATTCAGCTCATTAAAGCTGAGTCAAATTGAGTACGCTGTTGATGAGCTCAGGCCCAAAATGATCGGGACAGCCGTCCAGTGTTTAGATCCCCTCAATATGGCCGGCAAGCAAGCAAGCACTATTGGCTGATGTGAACTGTATACAACTACTCACCTGAATTAATCAGTAGTGTGTATGAGTTTATGCCATTATGTTTATTTTCTTGATTACCATTTATAGTATCAAGGAGACCATCTACTACTTTGTGATCTAAATGATTTCGTTCTCCAAAGGATACTGTAATTAAATGACCACCCCGAATTGTGTAGAGTGCAAATTGTTAACTAGCTTTTTTTCGTTCACGTTCCTAGTGAAACATAGGACTTCAAGCTAGTGGCTTGAAGTTTTGGTAGGAGTGGTGTTTATTTTACAGGATGGGGTTGCTAGCCTCATGTCCAACCTTTCCTCATTTCCGGCTAAGCGAGGTAAAGGAGTGTGTCTGTGGCTGGGGATCGAACCCCGGACCATGTGCATGGTTGGCGAGCGTCCTAACCGCCACACCACGACGCACAAATAGTAAATTCCATACTTGTACCTAAACTTCGGTGTGGAATCAAGCTATAACAAAATAAATAAAATAAAATATTGGTCGCGTTATGTTGTGAAATGGCAGAAGTTAGAATTCATGGGCCAATGGATCGGTTCCCAGTGGCTCAATGGTCTAAGAGCTTGCCTTGTTACCAGAAGGTCCTGGGTTCCAATACCGGTCGGTGGGTGGGTGATGAAGAGTCCCAAACTAGGGGGGAGGTTGCAGCAGTCCAGTACTCTCAGGTTTTCCAGTGGTTCTCTAACTGATGTTAATCCACGATCAACTCGTAAAATCAAATCTAATCCTTACAAACCAATCATAGAAAATTAAACTGATGCTCGCTAGTGACTTGCGACAGAATGGAGTTTCCTGGAGTTCTAGTGAGAACTCGTGAACAGTAGGGGCCACCCAGTCAAGTGTGAGGATGGATGTCCCACCGACGCCATTGGTTGATGGTCGCGCTAAAATCACGAATTGGTAGAAGTCAGAATTCATCGGTTGGTCATTGAATCGGATCCCAGTGGCTGAATGGTATACGAGCTAGCTTCACTTGTAACCGTAAGGTCGTGGATTCGAACCCTGTTGGTGGGTGAGTACTGCTGATGAATCCCAAACTAGGAGGAAAAAACAGCTTTCTAGTACACTCTGGTTTTCAATGGTTCTCTAATTGATATCAGTCCATGGTCAACTCGTAAAATCAAATCTAATTCTTACCAAATAATCATAGGAAAGAAACGCTATCCAAAGTTATAAAGAACCCAAATTTTGTATTATTACAGTCACAACGACATTTTACATCAATCTTACGAAATGATCGAATTCGTTTCCCTAAACACATCCCAAAGGGTTTTGTATCCCGTCAATCTGACGATCAAAGGTATTTAGTCTTTCCCCTGACCAAAATGATATGAAATTCATTGTGGACCGACATCAACCAGTAATGCTTGCTAACTAGATAGTATTGGTCGAAAGAGTGGACAGTCATTTTGATCATTTAAAGCTTAGCTCATCGGCAGTGTAATCAGTTTTACTTAGCTGAAAGAACCAAATCACTTGAAACCACTTGAATTCTGACTAGCTAATTGCATAAATTGATGTGATACATGGAATAAAATTCACCGAGTTTCAAATTGCACATTTTTGACTATGGTTTCTGTAGGAAAACATTGAATTGGGGAAGTTTGACC